TCTTTTAAAACATGACTTTATTAACTTCATTAGTTCTGGTCTTTTTTTGATACTACTGGTAAAGTCTGCCTAAAGTCTCCACCCCGCAAAACCGTTACATAACCTATTAACCTTTTATTTTCCCTTATACTGTTTAGATATCTATTTAAAGCCTCAACACCACCCTTATGTTCCATTGTAATTTCGTCCCGCACTATTATTTTTGTATTTTTTTAAAACTTCCGCAAAATTACTTTGTTTTAATATATTACAAACGGGAGTGACCGAAGTTGTTAGATTCAGTGTTAGTTTGAAGGTAGCAATGGGCAGTTCGACTACCCTCGAGTAGTGTAGCTGCGATTCCAGAATATGCTACAGCTAAGGCATGTCGCGAGTACTTCTAACTTTCGCTAAAATCAAATTGACTAAGAAAGTTTTTCTTTTTTTTTTTCATTTTTACACTTTTTAACCCTTTTAACACTCTTAGGGGTTGACTTTTGAAAAATCCCTTTTTACGGATGTCTATATCATGCAACGAATCTACTGACCATCTACTGACTAAATTTCATACTCTTCAATTCAACGGTTCCGGCTTGGTGGTTTTTTCTATTTTTACACTTTTCAACCCTTTAGGGATTGAAATTTAAAAAATAAAGTTTATAGACAATGTTTATTTGTTTTACAGAGTATGTATACTTAATTTTAAAAAATCAGAACAATAAAAACGTTTTAAATTGTTCTCTTTTACCCTTTTTAACCACCTTATGGGTTGAATTTCCAAAAATCTTTTCTTAGCGCACTAAGAAAATCCTCCTATATCATAATAGTTATCTGTATGCTAAATTTCAGCCCGATCCGTTTAATGGTTTGAACTGTGCGTTGATTGGACAGTCAGTGAGCAGGGCCGTATTTATGCCTAGGCCCGTGAGGCCCGGGCTTAGGATGGCAAATTTTTTGGGGCGACAAATTTTGTAAAAAATAAAAAAAATCATATAAATATTTTATGCATTTATGTAACTGCGTTAATTAATATTATATAATATTTAATAGTAATATAAATAATATTTTATATTATAGTATAAATCTGTGTATAAAATATACGGGCGCATAACACTGAAAATGTCAATAACACAAAATCAATTTTTTCATAATATGAGCTATAAAGATAAGATACCTAGCTAGGTACATAATATAAGTTGTTCCTAAAAGTAATTACGATACTAATATAATATATATAGAAGTTGACTAGAGATATTGTGTATCCATATCGCCAGGGCCGGTTATAGGCGTAGGCGACGTAGGCGCAAGCCTACGGCGGCAAAATTTATATTTATATAGAGACGGCATATAAGAAAAAATTAAATATCTTATTTTTCACGTTTATTTTAGATTTGAACATATTTTAAAGTACAATATACAAACATAATGTGTAGATCGATAAAATTCTAAAACAACAATCTATAAAAATATAGATTATTTTTCCCTGAATTGCGATAACGTCTCGACGCATGTTGTGCCATTACAATTTAATCGATAATGTCACAAGACTGTTGTGTGTCATTCACTCTTACTGTACAGTGTAGTGTAGGTACATTCTTAATCGAGTTCAGCAATATAATTTTTTTATAAATCAACTATTAAGGCATATACATATATCAAGACTACATTACATAATAGGTAAATAATATACATAAATATATATTTTTAATTTACTGTTAAATTATTATTTAAATTTAAATATCATTATTGGTATATCGCGTAAATGATTCAATAGTATACTTGGAAATCGTAATTAGTTCTGATGGTGGTGGTCGTTTAGAATTAAAACCGTCGATATACTTGTAAATTGTAATAATTTACTAATCATATTAAAAAAATTTATATTTTAAATAAGCTTTAAGCTTTCATTTCATAAATATATATGTATATATTGTATTTAATTATTTATTCACACATTATGGCCGATGATATAAAAAAGCGTAAACGATTATCAGGTTCGCAATACTTAAAGAAAAGATTAGCATGGGAAACAGATTTAGTTAAACAAAAAGGTAGTTTACTGAAATTTTTTCCACAAAATGGTCAAGAAAAAGTTAGTAATGATTATGATACTGATAACAGTGAAGAAAATAGTGGAAATAAAAATATTAAAGATATACATGATATAAACCGCAAAAAAAAATGATTTTGACTCTGAAAATGAAAACAAGAAAGAGATTGCTATAAGTGAAGAAAATATTGAAAATGAAAAATCTTACAATGATGATGAAAAGTACACCAATTTTAAGTATCTTGATCTTGATGACCCTAATAAATGGCCCTTTATCGATGAAAAATTAAGACTATATTTTATAGAATGTGAACCTCGTCAAATAAATATGGAAACATTTCCTATAAACACTAGTTGTAGATCATTTTCAACTTTTCACTATTTTCGACTTTTACCTAATGGTGAATGTATTAAACTTTATTCTTCCAATAATGGTAACTTCTTAAAATTTATTGAGTTTTTAAGTAAATTCGATCCAGTAATGAAAGAACACATAAGAAGAATATCATCTCAAGAAATTCATTGTCATTATTTAGGAAAAGATATTCAAAATGAAGTAATTCAATTATTGGCGAATAAAATAAGATTTCGCATCGTAACTGCATTAAAAAATGCAAAATATTATTCAATCATTTTAGATTGTACACCGGATATAAATCATACAGAACAAATGACTGTAATAGTTAGATTCGTCTCAACCACTGAAAACGAAACAAGTAAAATAGAACAAGTTTCTATAAATGAACACTTTATTGGTTTTATAGAATTACACAATACTACTGGCTTAAATATGACAGACGTTATTCTTCAAAAACTTAGAGAATTAGATATTTCATTAGATGAAATTTAGGTTTAGGATTAGGTCAAGGATACGATAATGGAGCTAATATGCGTGGCTATAAAAAATGGTGTTCAAGCCAGAATTCGAAATCTAAATTCAAGAGCTTTTTACGTACTATATAATGCACATTCTTTAAATTTTGTTTTGAATGATTCTGCAAATTGTTGTTTAGATGCAGTTTCATTTTTTGATACTATACAAGAAATGTATACATTTTTTTCAGCATAAACACAAAGATGGGATGTTTTTCGTAAATATGTTAAAAATCTTACTGTAAAACCATTAAGTGCAACTCGATGGTTTAGTAGAATAGACGCTGTTCGACCAATTAGATTTCAAATTGCTGAAATTTATGGTGCACTGGAAGAAATATCAGAAGACATTTGACTTACGAGTGTAACTGGCGTTCGAAGTCGTTCTGAAGCTAAAGGTATAGCTGAAAAATTAATAAGCTTCAAATTTTTATGTAGTTTAGTAATTTGGTATGATTTATTATGCGAAATTAATGTCATTAGTAAATGATTACAAACTATATCATTAAATATTCTCGAATCAATCAATCAGATAAATAATACCAAAATATTTTTACAAACATATCGTAGTGATGAAAATTTTGAAAAAATACTTAAACTAGTAAGGAACTTAGCAAATGAGCTTGGTGTGCAAGATAAATCAATTTCGAACTCGACGTAGAAAAACTCATTTTGATTACGAATCTCGTGATACTCCTATAACAGATCCTAAACAGAATTTCAAAATAAATTTTTTTCATCAAATATTAGACAATATGCTCCAATTAATAAATGACCGATTTATTCAACTTGAAGACCATAGTAAATTATTTTTATTTCTTTATAATATTTCTAATGTCAATAATTATGAACATTTAATGAAGTGCTGCAAAGATCTTCAGCTAGCACTTTCTTCAAATGACGGTTTAAATTCTGATATAAATTCTGTTGAACTATGTGAAGAAATAAATACATTACATTGCAATTTTACAATTTATATGTGAAAACAAATTAATAGAATTATTTCTTAATGTATATGTAGCACTAAGAATTGTATTAACACTACCAGTAACTGCAGCTTCAGCTGAAAGATGCTTTTCAAAACTAAAAATTGTAAAGAACTATCTAAGATCACAAATTTCTCAGGATTGTTTAGTTGGATTGGCCACAATTTCAATTGAAAATCAAATTGCGAATGATCTTGACATTGACGATTTAGTTAAAGATTTTGCGTCATCAAATGCAAGAAAAGTACATTTTTAAAAATTATACTAAATATTGTATTTTATAATAACTATTGTAAATTCAAAATTGTAATACCTTAACAACAACCTATGTAATATTAATTTAATAATTTCTTTTTATTTATATAATAATTGACGAGTGTAAAATGTTTTTTTAATTTTTATGCTCCTTCATATGACAATTTTTCTATTAAAGTTATAATAAAACAAAAGGCGGCAATTTTGATCTTTGCCTACATATAAAAATTTGCTTGTTTTGACTATTGACCTAATTTCTTTAAAATTAAATAAATTTATTAGAAATAATTACAAGATTTTTTTTTCTTGGGGTAGGGGTGGCATATTTAAAAGGGCACAGGGCGGCACTTGTTCTGTATCCGGCCCTGTCAGTGAGCTTACTGTTTTATACATACAGAAAAAATAAAAAGATTAAAATTATTTCAACAATCTTAATTAATTTAAATTTTAATAGATTAAACAAAATTTAATCTTGTCACGTTACATACATTTATATAATTAAACCCGTGAACGACGGGTAATTCAGCTAGTAATAATAATAAAATAATACCCCGAAATTGCTGTAAAGTAAGATTATTATTCAATAATGCAATTTGTATAATTGAGCTAGTCGATTTTTTCTATACAACTCATAAATAATAATATAGTCACGGAACAATTCATATCTACATGCTGATAAAATACACACACAAAAAAGTCAGAGTACAGGTAGATGGAAACCCTCTGACCGCCGTGTCGTACCATATTTCCCGTAATCGGTGGACTGCTATTGTTATTATATGAATATAGAAATACAAATCACACGTAAAAAAATTATTTTTACCCATTTCAACTTTTTAAAATCAAAATTTCGAAAAATCCTTTCTAAGCGGATGCCTAAGCCTTAATAGCTAAGTGTATGCTAAATTTCAGCCCGATCCGTTTAATGGTTTGAGCTTTGCATTGATAGATTAGTCAATCAGCTTACTGTTTTATATATACAGATATAAGGATTTTTGTAATTTTACGTTGGTTACGTTGGCTAGGTAAAAATTTTTTTTTTAATAATTATTATAATACGGGAAATTTATTTTTCTAAGGCTGGTACAACCGATCTCCCGAAATTTGATTTTGGTGATAACTCGTTGTTATCAAAATCAGGAGAACTGGACCAGTCCCTTCCAATGGTCGACGAAACGCGGTCCGGGCGATTTCCAAGGATTATCCATGTTCGACCAGGACGTTGTAAATCGTATCACTGTTGACGGCGATCACAGAAGATCCGTCCAAGATCCACTGACCCTGTCTGTTCGTAAATTGTATTGCACAACCCGACGTCGTTCTTCCACCACCGACTGTATAAAGAATTGTACAGTTTATTACGATATCGATCGATTACAGTATTACTGTTTCACGCATCTATAGAATAGATTCATTTGTTATTATTTTAGTCTTCCCAGAATCACGACTGATTGTTAATCGATATCGGTTCGTTATCTCCCGTTCCCTTCCTCCCTTTAACCATAACAACATTCAACCCGGTCACCACTGACTTTATCTGTCGTTTACTCTATTCTATTCGTAACAAAAACCGCATGCGTTAGAAGTCCGCAATTCGTTTGCTATTAACTCGCCGATTTCCGAATAGTAGAGACATGACATCGATCTTTAATTTCCCGTTTAGAGCGTGCAGGTCCGTTTTAGCGTCGGAAAGTAGGTAAGTCGAACAATTTTAAAACGAATTCATGTGTATTGGAAGGCGAAAAATACTAGCTTACGTACTGGTAATCGACAGACTTATAAAAACGTCTTATTATTACCATGGGGATAACATCCAGGTGCCCTTTTTAAGAGCTTAGAATAACTGTATTCTCGACGTTATTAATTAATTTAATTAATTTTTTTTCATTGCTGTTATACAACATTTATACAATGTTTTTTACAATTTTATACAATGAAACATTTTAACCCAATGTTTAGATTTTATAAAATTTGTTTTAAAATCGTTTAATGGTAAGAAATAATTCAATTCAACAATTATTTAAATATAATTGTTTAAAAAATCACTATTAGCATAGTAATAAATGTATGTACGTTTTTAATAATTTAATGTATACTTAATGTAACCATCTGTATAAAAAGGTATTTCAGTAAAACTTTGGTCTATACTTTCATATTAAGATCAATAGTTATTCATTAGTTTTTTTTGTTCAATTAGATCTCAGCTTCATGTATCTAATGGCAAATGTTAAATGCTCTAATTCTAAATGTTTAGTTGTTTTTTATATTATTTAATCAAAATCATATTTTTAAGAACTATTTTTTATTTAGTTCAGCAAACAGAATCCAAATAAAAATATGCCTTAAATTAGTAAAAATTGGTACATTAAATTTTTATTCTTTGAAACTAAATATTAAAAATATTTGTTATGAATCAAGAATCATCATAAGTATAATGAAGTAGGAAGGAAAGTTTAAACAATTTTTAGTATGAATTAAATATATTTATTTAGATTAAATTCTATAATGGGCTACAACATTTTTCGTCATAAAGTGTCAGATGCAGCTAACAATGCAGAAGAAATAAAGGATGGTAAAGAAAAAATTGATATTGAAGCTCTTGTAAAGCAAAATGAAGATTTACAAGAAGAAAATAAAAATTTAATTGTAAGTTATTTACTTATAGATAAAAAATAATTATTTAATTTACTAAGTTTATTTGAATTAGGAAAAAGTTAGAAGGTATCTAGCTGAAACAGAAAATATCCGTAAACGTACTATTAAAGAAACTTCTGATGCTAAAATTTATGCAATTCAAGGATTTTGTAAAGATTTGCTTGATGTAAGGTTTTTAAATTAGCATGTAAAATATTGTAATACTTAATTATAATTTATTTAGGTTGCTGATAGTTTAAGTAAAGCTACTGAATGTGTACCAAAAGAAGAAGTATGTGATAGTAATCCACATTTGAAACATTTGTATGAAGGCTTGGTGACTACTGAATCACAATTACAAACGGTTGGTATAATAATATTTATATTCTTATAAATAGAGATATTTCATTATAATCATTAATGAATAATATAATTTATGGATATGATATCTAATGCAATTACAATAAAAATATTGTTAAAATTCTAACATCAATTTTTATATTGTCATATCATTATATTATTTATTACCTATTTTTTTTGTCTTTAATTTATTTAAATTAGTTTTAATGAATGCCATGAATAAAATGATGTATATTTTATACAAGATGTATATAAATTAAATTAGGAATAAATATTAAAAGTTATTCATAAAATGGTATGCTATGTTCTTTACTTTTATTTTAGTACTAATTTGAAATTTTTGTTATAGATTTTTCAGAGACACGGTTTAATGGCTATAAATCCTTTGAATGAAAAATTTGATCCTAATTCTCATAAAGCTTTATTTGAACAGGTATTGTAATAAGATTTTATTAAAGTAAAAAAAAAGTAATGTACTTTATTAAATTGTAAAATGCTTAAATTTTAAATTAATTTATATAGGTAGTAGAAGGTAAAGAAGGAGGTATTGTAGTTGTGGTATCACAAATTGGATATAAATTACACGATCGTATTGTTAGAGCAGCTGCTGTCGGAATCAGCAAAGATCCAAATCAGTAAAAAAGTACATGATTTATGAAGCTGCAATGGGAACTGGCAAAGATCCAAATCATTGAATAATTTTTCAACATTCAAGTAGACCAAAAAATTATATGTAAATAAATTGTTTTTTCTTTCAAAAAATTGTTAGTTGAAATGATTCTTAAATATGCATATTAATTCATATGATCAGAGACAAAGGTTAAAATCATAGATAATGTTATTGTTATGCTATGGGTTAAACTTTATCGGTTAAGTATTTAGTAAAAAATAAAATCTTAATATCTACAATATTATATATTTTAATAAAGCAATTATTTAAGTTAAATGTGTTTTTAAATTTTTTATCTAATATCTTAAGACAATTTTAAAATGTTATTTGTGATTGATAAATAATATAAAAACATGCCTGCTCAAAAAAAAAAAAAAAAAATTAAATTGTGGATCTAATTATATAGGTACTTAGTTTTCCTTATATTGATTGTTAATGAATTTGCAAGTATATATTTTGTTCAACCTTGATTTTCAATAAAAAATTATGATTACAATTATGGACATTTCGATGATGCCAAAATATTATACAACATTCATATTCTGTTCTATTTTCCCATCATCCATCCAACACTCTGAACTATAAAGCATAGTTGGTCTTACTGTACTCTTATAAAATTTACCTTTCAGCCTCATTGGCATAGGCACAACTAGGGTAAAAAATCTGGGGAGGGCAATAGCCCTCCTACCAAATTTTAAAATAACCTGTTAATTACCTCTACTCTTATATACCATATTAATATATTTTAAATTCTAAGCAGTTGGATTTACTGCAATGTGTCTTATTTTTGTATGTAACACTATTGTGAGTTAAGTATGCTGTGTGCCATAGAATATTGATGGGGAAGTTAAATCTTTGTCCGATGGAGCTAATCCCCCCTAGCTGCGCCTGTACTCATTGGAATTCTCTTATCACTTAAAACGCCCAATGCTTCTCTCTATTTCATTCAACCGCACTTAATGTTGTTTTACATCCATGTTTAAGTCCCCCTCTCATCCTTTTGTACCAATGATCCTAAATATTTCAAGTTCTTGACTTCACCATTTATATCACTGCTTATTGTCATTGATCTCATAGCCTCAACTTCTTGGTGTCTTCTTCCAAAGTCATACTCTATATACTCTATTTTATTTCTATTAATTCTCAATCCCTTTCCTTCAAGGGCTAATCTCCACTCATCCAACCTTTTATTAACTCCTTCCAGATTTTCTCCTATCAAAACTAAATCAGCAAACATCTCACATCATGGTGTATCTTGCTCTGTATGTCTTTCGTAACTTCATCCATTACTACAGAGAATAAATAAGGGCCTAAAGCTGACCCCTGATGCACACCAGAGTTTGGCAAAATGTTATCTAGATAATTATTCGAATAAATATGTATTCGAATAAAAAATTATTCGATTCATTTTTTTACAATTCTTCGAATAAAAATTTATTCGACTAATTTTCAAATACAATTATTCAAATAAAAATGTATTCGACTGATTTTCAAATACAATTATTCGAATCAAAAATTATTCGACTAATTTAGAAAAAATATTATTGGAATAATTTGTGATCATAATATTATTTGAATAATTTTTAAACATAGTTATCCTATCTTAGTAATTATAGTAGTAGTTAGTACTAATTACTAAATATGTATTATGAAATAATGATTATAATTCTTCTAGTTTGTATATATATTTAGTATGTACCTTTAGAGTAATTAATTATCAATATAGAAGATATTATTATTATATCTAGTTTAGTCCAGTTTCTGTACTTTATTATGTGGTCTTAGATATTTTGGTACTATGTACTAACTACTTATGTTCAATGTTGTATTTCATATTTATAAGTTCAAATATATAGAGCTCTACACAAAAATATAAAGATACTAGATAGATATGGGTATGTAGCTATAAAAATTATCTGTTTGAATTTATGATATCTAAACATCGAAGACATGGTTTTATCAAATGTACATCAATGTACATTTTCATTTTTGCTAAAATAATTTATTGACATTTTTGTTATTATTATTTACTACTATTTATGATTGTAATATTTTTACGAAATATGATTATAAAATATTATTCATATTCAAATATTATTATATATATATTTCTTTACTTTCTTATATAAATTAATATTTGTTTTTTATTATACAATATTTTTAAATTTTTCCAAAAATTATTCAATTAATTTTTTATTCGAATAATTGAGTTTGAAAATTAGTCGAATAATAATTTATTCGAATAATTGTGAAAAAAATCATTCGAATAATAATTTATTCGAATAAAATATTATCTAAATAAACATCTAAATAAAATTTTATTCGAATAACGCCCAACTCTGATGCACACCAACTTCTACATTGAAATCTTCTATTACTCCACACTAGCTCTTGAGCCTTCATACATATAATGAATCAAATTTATATAACATTTTTAGTACTTCTTTTCTCATTAATGCCCACTTTAAAACTACTCTTGGCACTCTGTCATAACTCTTTTCTAAATTTTTAAACACCGTTCTTAATTTTTTCTTCTTTTCTCTAAAATTATTAATTAATATTTAATCGATTAAATAAACTGATACAGATTTGACATATTTTGAATTAAAAATAAACAATAATGTTAAGAGCTTTAAAATCCATTTTATTGTTCCATACAAATCGATAATAAAAACCATAAAATTGATTACAGTTATATATAAAACAAACAATAAATAACCATAGTATTTATTTCAATACTTAATTTAAAAACACAATTTCTGGTATTTTAGTTTTAATTGAACATACATTTAAAATGAAACATTCATACAAAATTTATAGTATATATACTATCAGTTTAAAACAAAACACACAAGGGAAATATTTTGAAATGACAACCATTAGGTATAACATCAAAATAATATTCTATATAAGGTTAAATTAGTTGTCAAAATTAAGACAAAATCTAAAACTAATTTGATCCATTGAGTCTTGTTATTATAAGAATTTCAAACTTTTAAAAACAAGCATATTTCATTTTTTTTTTTTTAATAGTTTGTGCATGTTTGATGTTTGTATAATATAGCAATTATAATTTAATTTACTTTACATGCGAAAAAATTAATTTTCGACTAATGTTACAACATGAAAGAAAACATTAAGAAACCCATTCTGAGTACATTATTACAATAAGTAATACATAAAATAAACACTTATAATAATTAATATTAATACATATATATTATATTATCATATTTATCAAATGGTATATCATCTAAACACATAAGAAGTTATTGTTTTAAGTACATAATATGTTTTTAAAAAACAAAATTAAGACTAAGGATGTCGGCCATTTCATTACACATTATAGAGTTAATATTATAAAATAATGAAATTTCTGTAAAAAAGAAAAAAAATGAGAAGCGTTTTTTTTTTTTTTTTACCTATATCTGTTATCATATTTAAAAAAGCTTAATTTAATTAATTATTACTCACCAATTTTAATGTTAAAATAAAAAAGGTAAGTACAAAAGCAAGTACATCCTTAGAAATGTATTGGCATTCAACAATTAAATAACAAAACGACTTGTAAAAGGTTTTTAAGTACAAAATAAAAAATGTTATCTGATCAATATAGATGGAATAAGGTCATGATATAATATTACAGTTAAATAATATAATAAACATAATAATAATAATAATAATTATGATAATAATAATAAAAATAACAGCGAAACGAAGCAGTTTGTTAACTAAGCACCATAGGACTTGATGATCACAAAAATTGTTTTAAATGTACAAAAATAATAATAAAAATAATAATAATAATAATAATAAATGCATAGTCTAAATAAATGAAATAATAATAACTATAAAAAATTCAAATTGAATTAAAAAAAATGGTTTGCTCATGTCAATTGAGTAAGATTATGTGCATCAACAATTTTAAGTAATACAAACTAAGTAAAAAATAATTAAAGGTAAACTAACAAAAGCAGTATAATTATGAAATTAAATGATCTACCTAATCTAAACTATAAGATAGCATATCTAATATACACTTTTAAAAAAATGCTTCATCCACATGCGATATGTCATTTAAGTTCGAAGAAAAATCCATTTCTAAGGAATCATTTCCAAATGCCATCATACTAAATAAGCAAAACAATATTAAGCCAATCGAACAAATAAAATATTTTATAAATTTAACAAATTTAAAATTAGAACACAGAATACATAGAATGCAATTTTTTGGATCTTATAAGTTATGTTTGAGATTTAAATATGGTAAATACTGAAATTTGATTTTTAATAAATTATATTATAATATCAATGCTTTAATAATTATAAAAACTATAGATACATTCACGCTTAAGGCCTAGCTATTTTGGAGAAATTGAATATGATTCAAAACACATCTTCAAAATCAATACTGTGTTTTAAATATCTCTAAATTAATTTTCTTAGTTTTTATAGTTTCACAAAAATCACACTTGAGTACTAAATATGTTTAAGAATACAGTTCTTAATATATAAATGCAACTTATATAATCTAAAAAGACTAGAAATATGCTAAAGGAATAAGGTTCATTAATCTTTTCAATCTACTCTAATGTAAGAATTTATGGAAATAAGGGTTCTGAAGTTATAGGAGTCAAAAAAGGTAAAATATGCATGAAAAAAATGTGAAAAATGCAAAAAAAATAAATAAAAATATTTCTTCATTTATTAAAAGTTAATTAGTAAATTCTAAAAAACCTATATTTAAAAAAAACTTTAATATTGAAAACTAAAATATGGCATATAACCAGTTGGCATTTGAGATTTTATTGAACTTAAAAAAATAGTTAAGCAAATATATTTTCATTATTTGTGAAATACGAAATAAATATATGTAGTATAATACCTGTTAAGTTATCGCATTAAACTATATTTTCATAATCAATATTTTCGTTAAATTCATAGTAGACATTAAAAAATAACAATAAATAACCATGAAAAATAATATCGAGTTATATATGATGGACGTTTTCCTCATTATTAGCGTTTTGTTAATTAACATTATTTCATATAAATTGGTTAAAAATGAAAAAAAATAATTTTTTTTAAAAAATATTAATTATACATACAAATATGCAAAAATCAATAAAATATGCAATTATTTTTCTAAAATTAACAAAATATATAAAATATGCATTTTTAATTTTCAATTTTTAAACTCAACATAGTATAGCTCGGATTTTAAGCTTGGTTTGCTATAAATTGAGAGCATACAGAACAATATGCAACTCCTATAACTTCCGAATCCTATTTATTAGTTATAGTAATAAAAACGAAAAAAAAAAAAAATTAACATCCAAATTCATTTGGACAAATGATTCCAGGATCACAGTATATAGGCATTTCTAAATCCCGTCACAGGATGGCAGTTGAAAAAAACGACCCTGGACGGTATTTTTCACATGTACTGTTGAGTTAAAAGCAAAATTAAAAATTATTTATTTTTTTTAAATATAAATACATTTTATACTACAGATAATTTTATAATATTTGGAACCTTTGTAAAATAACATTTGAATAATTCATTTAATAACAAGATAACAAATTTTAGTTTCTTACTATGGTAATTTCTTCATTTATAAAGAAGATAGAATATTATTAATAACAATTTAATATTTTTTTTATTATCTATCCATAGTGCAAATAAACACTTTTTTAAAATATTAATTAAATTGTTTTTACATATATTGAAATAATAAATATAATCTTTCAACATAATATACTTTCAAGAGTTATAGAATTAAAAGAATGTTAACTTTCTTAACATATTGCAGAACATACAATTATATAATCCTGAGAAGTCTATGGTAAAAAGTTAGATTTTAACTGTGATATACTTATTTTAGCAATCCTTTTCTAATTGGAAACATCCCAAATTTAAGAAAATGTTCAGTTATTATTAAGTAATGACTATTACTGAAAATTAAAACCTTAAAGTAATAAAACAAATAATAACAAATATAATTTAAGTTTTATACTATGGATATCTTTGGGAAATTATTTATTCATTATGCAATAAAATCTTGTTGATTTTAAATTTTTGTATAACATAAGTGAAAAATTGACTTTAAATGTCATATTTATTTGCTTGTATAATAACTTAAACAATTTTTCTTTTCCATGAACTTTAATGTATAAAAAACAATATTTTTAAATTACAGAAATGTAATCTTGTTAAATATTTAAGTATAATAGATTGAAAATTGTTAAATTTAATTTTTTCAATTTTAGAATTCAGAATGAAAAAGTAATCAAATGTTTATACATTCATTAATTAGTATAATTAAAATTTTAAGGCTCCATATATTTAAATATTTTTAAAAATAAAGTATAAACATGCATTATATAAACTAAAAAAATAATAAAAATTTTCAAAGACCTTATAAAAATAAATTGTGAAAGAATTTATATGCCGTGCTACATTCATAAATATTGGCAAGAAATAGTATATAAGTAGTATACATAGTACTTCAAATCTTATTTAAAATATGATTCAATTATTACAGTGGCGTAATTAGGGCTAGGTTAGTTATTTACTACATTTTAATACCAAAAATAAATAAATTAATACATTTTTTATTTTTTAGTTATAATTACTAAGGAGAATTCTGATAAAGGCCAAAAACCAACATTGCCTAGACAAAACAAACAGAATGACAAAAATTCATTTTTTACATCCTTTTTTTTAGATAACTTAAAATAACATTTTATATTGGATAGATTTATATCAAGCAAATGCTATGTCTGTAAGGACAAGTTTCCAACAGCACAATAATTATTATCAAAATACTTAGGACTTGTTATTAATATTATTGTTATATGTAATGTTGTTATTTGTATTCATCAATTTAATTTAATTTTTTTTTTTATTTAAATTGTAAATATTCTATTTATTTATAAAAAACTGGAAACCCAATACATATGTATATGGTTTTTTTTTTTTTTTTAGAAACTTCCTTTAATTTTGTATGGAATCTATCAGGGGTGGATCCAGAAATTTATCTTAGATTATTGCAAGTCTAAGGAAAAAGATTGCTTCCCCAGTTCTTCCATTCCATATAAATCCAAATGTGTTTTCTATTAAGTTTTCTTCTATTTCATTTTCTATCCTTTTGTAGACTATTTTTGTTAGAATCTTTGAGGTGTGTGATATTAAATTTATTGTCCTATAATATTTGCATTTTTTGATATTGGTATCATTATACACTTTTCAAAGTCATCTAGGACTTCCCCTGTTTCATAGGCTTCAGTTATATTAGACAATACTTTTTTTCCCGTTCCCTCCAATGTCATCAGTAATTCCCTATTCAGGTGGTCTATTCCGACAACTTTATTACATTTTAATTCTTTTATTGCTAACTCAAGTTCTTCTTTCATGATATTAAGTCCTATGGAATTCCTGATTTCCATTTTCCACTTCGGTGGTTCTGTGCCTCTTGCCTGTGCTGTCAGCCTATAAAGTTCTTCTATGTATTCTTTCTAGACTGCTAGTCTTTCTCTATTATTCATAATTATTTTTTCATTTTTTTCTAAGGATTTCAGATATACTTATACGTAAATCGAAAAATTGTTTTTTTTATTAATTAATTAATTTTTATATATAATTTTTATTAATTTGTTTATTTTTTTAAATAGATGTTCATATACAAGCACGTGTTTTCTAGCCATTCTTCCTTTGCTCTTCTTGACTCTCTGTTTACCAAATTCCTGTACCTTTCGTATTAATTTTGCCCTTCATCTGTTTTCATATTTTTATATTTCCTTCTATTATCTTTAAGTTTCTCTAGATTCTAATCTGCTGTTTTTGAGATAGCTTCTTTCAGGGTTTTCATTTGTCCTCGATAGTTGCTGGTACATTTGTTTATTATCTCATTTATTTCCTCATAGAAGTTTTTCCTTGTTTTTTTTTCTTCTAAATTCCACTTTTTCTTAGATTCCTTATTTATTCTAGGCTTTTTGAGGCTTCATCTTGTTTCCATAATGACAGAATCATGATCAGAGTCTATAACTGCTTCTGGGTAACCTTTACTTTGTTTGACCTGGATTCTGTATCTTTTCCTCACTAATATGTAATCTAATTGGTATCTGTCATCCCTTTTGAGCATAGTTCAGGTATATCTCCTCTGTTAAGATTGTATAAACATAGTGTTGGTGACTATCATATACTTTTCCTTGCAAAATTCTATAAGTTGTTCACCTCTACCTCTCTTTTGCCATTTCTGATATTTCTGTTATTTGTTTGTTATATATTTCTTCTATCTCTTCATCCTTATAGCTAGACATTGGTATATACACTTGAATTATAAATATATCCAATTATTTAGACTCTTTTAATAGTTATTATCTTTTTGTTATAATGTATAATGGTATTGATCTTATTACCAAACGTTTTGTTTAGTATTATCCCTACTCCTACAATCTTGTTTTTCTCCATTAAATAGTAATATTTAATATATACTCGATCAGTAATCTTCTTGTCGTACCCAAGATATCAATTTTGATCCATTTCATTTCCAACTTCACATTTTCGAGTCTTCCGCAAACACCCAAAGATCATACATTCCCTGTTGCTGTTCTCTTGTTCTTTACTTTTGATGAAATTGTCTTGGTAGTTCCCACCTGGAGATTCGAATGGGGCACTATTTTACCTACAGAATTTTTCATCTCAACAATTTTATCAATATCTTCAAGAAAAAGAAAAATAATGCAGTAGTTTCCCCTTGTTTTCTGCATCGCAGTTGATGAGTCAGTTCTTAAGTTATTCTCAAGCTGCTATTATCAAGTCCTTCAATTGCTGTTTTATCCACTATGGAAAGCACCAATGGTTGTTAGTAAATATTAATAGCCTCTTACAACAAGCAGGAGTTATTGTGGTCCAATTCTAACCTTGAACCACAACCTTACTGAGACTGAAGATTATATATTCAATCATCTATGATCACATCAAAAGTTTGGAATGCCAAAGATCAAAACTAAATTACGCCACTGAATTACAAATTCAGTTAACAGTTAATAATCAAAATTGATATAATAATAAATTTACTTTATATACAAATTCAAAGCAACTAAACAACTCCAATATTATGATTTCAAATAAAATTTGAACCTTAGAAATATTAACCTAAATTGTTCTATGTACACCACTTCCAAAGCATTTAAAAATGATTTCTTATTAGAAGTGAGCGAGCATTTCAATTTTTTCTATTAACACTACAAAATAAAATTAATAATAATTATTAAAAACTACAATACTACTTACATTTTACTTAAATAAAAATAAGCTTATTGAATACTATAATTAAGATTCTTGAAAATCTAGCTAATACAGAATAATTACTGACATTTATAAATATTTTACTATAATATTTAATATTCATATAATTTTGAATAATGTAATTAAAGCATTATAGAATAATGAATACTAATTTTATCCTAGAGAATAAATTTGTTAAGTATTACAAATCAAACATAATATTTTATTTTTTTAAAACTTAAATATACTCAAATTTAACACACTTAAAACTATAAATATAAGTATTGATTTAATTAAAAATTATTTTAATAAATAATTCTTATTAATGCAAATAAGATACACTTATACAAAACACACACAGGATACCATTGCAACTCATGTAACCAAATCAAATTTTCTGTGAAACATGAATGTTAACTAAAATAAATAAATATAGATATACGATATTAACATCCTGAAAATTATGAAAAGTATAAAAAGTAGATATTAACTTATCAATAATTATATAAAAATACTTACAATATATTTAAACCTACTCACCCACTTCTAATTTATTTTATCTCTTTCATACTCAAACAAAACTATATTCAAGCTAAATACTATACATAATAAAGGTAAAATAAATTTCTTACTTAGTCACTGGTTCACTATGTACTGATGATGTTTCTCTAATGCTACAATTCCCTGGGCTGTTGACATGAAACATATGATTCTGAGGGGTATTGGGATAACTATTCATTCCTTGACAATTGGTACCAGGTCCACCCCATCCCGGAACATGAGTAACCAATAATGGCTTTAAATATCCATTGCTTGTAACAGGTGTACTAATATCTAAATTACATATATATAAAAAATATATATATATATATATATATATTAAAAAGTTAAAATTGATGTCAATGTTTTAGCTTATATAAAAGGGAACTTTATACAATATAAATATATATATTAAAATGAAATTTTAATGATAGAAATGTTACTTTGAGGTTGTGTGTAATATTTTCCAAATGCTTGATTTTTATCAATATCAGGATATAATTTAGTGAGATAAGGCAAATCCAATAGCCTGTCAGCTAAGTTTCGAATAGATAAATCTTTGGCTGAGAATGGATGTAAGCTATAAGCATCAGAATCGTTAGCTGAAAAAAAAAAACAATTAAAATATATAGAATAAATTAATTTATAAGTATTACTCACATCCAGCCCAAGCAACAGTTAGTCCACCTAGTTCTGAATCTGAAAATCTCAATAAAAATGTACCAGTTGCGTATCTTGTTAACATCTCTTCTGCATCAGACTTTCTAATGAATCCCATTATTGCTCTATAAGTATTACAAAAAATCTGGTAAGATATTAGGTATAAATGGTTCTAAATGACTTTTTTTTTTTCATTTTAAAGCTGATAAATCACTACATTCACTGTAATATTTGTAGTGAATATTTTACTGGTTACAATATTGAAAATTATATTATTTTAGATTCTAAGCAAAATGAGTAATGTATTGACTTTATTGAAATTATTCTTTTCTATGCACATAATTTTGACCAGAAAGATATCACACTCATACGAGATTTCTGGTAGAAAATTTTATCTAGTTGGTACTTAGAGGGGGTTAATTTTACAAAGTTTTTTAAATAATGCAAATTGATGGTACATTATTAAGACCAATACAGCAATATCATTCACCCATCCCAGTATCTTTTTTCTTTTATACTTGTTATACACAAACATTAATATTTTATAGTACTAAATATGTCCACTTTGTAAAATAAAAAGATATTAAATTAAACTTTTGATTCAAATTTATAAAACAAGTGTCAAAAAAAAAAAAAAAAAACTGTAAGACCAATAGTTATTATTTTAGGATTAGACAGGACTAAACACATATAATAAATTAGAGTTGGTAAATATTATATTGTTCATATTACCCATCAGTCCAAGGTCCTTTTAAATGTTCTCTAGTTATTTTCATCACTGCATAAAACCATTCCCAAAATGTGAAACTTCTTTGTGGCAAAGGTTCTTTACAGAACTGTGACCATGACAAAACCATATGATTGAAATCCATATTTTGCATTCTAAATATAAAATATATACACACACATTAATTTATCTCAACAGTTTTATTGATTTAAGTAAAACATATAACTAACCTAAAAGCTTTTTCAGCTAAAAATGTTAAACTTTCTTCTGAGAGACCACGTCCCGTAGCAGCTGAAAATTTCATGTTCAAAGCTTCTGCCACATTTCTCCATGGGACTTTATCAGGAACATTAAATGGAACTCGGCCAGGTTCAGCAAAAGCATTATCCCATGTTACAGTAGCCCAAGCATGAGGATCTTGATTTCCATGAACAATAACTACTACTGGTAATGATAAGTTCCATACCTATAATTTTAGTTGAACTTTCTTTATTTTACCACATGTAATATTATATGCATAATGATGACATGGGAGTAGATTAGATTAATCTAGATAATTTGAAATTTCATTAGAGTGACAACTACATTTTAAATATATTTCAATGTATGTTGCTTCACAAATTTATTATTGCAAATATTTACTGTGGTTTGTAAATTAATGATTTAAATTATTGAACTGGACTCTAATTTAACATTAGTATAATAAAGTATCAAAAACATATTAAAAAGGAAAAAACTTAATTATTACATCATTATCTTCCTGATTCAAACTATTTAATATATCATTTATAATTTTTTTTCCCTTAATTTTTATTTTAAAATCATACCTCAAATTGAAGTTCATTGCCAATAAAAAATTTTGAGGAAAATAAAATTGAGAATTTTTCATCCATTACAGATTCTGTTCCCTTTTTTTCTGTGCGTTTGATTTTTTTTAGCTGCATACTTCTATTATTCATAAACATTAATATATAATTATATTTGATTAGTAAATATGATAATACTTTAGGATTTACCTGAAATTAGTTGACAGATGTCTTTGTACTGGTTGATATTCCATTTTACCAGTGCAATTTAATATTTCTCCACATGATTCACCATCAGGTTTATTTCTTCCAATTATTTGGTTAGCTTGAGTTTCACTAACAATTGATACTTTAACCTATATAAGAAATTAATTTTATTCTTATATCTAGAGATGAAAAATATTTAATTTGAATAAAGAAATTATAAGTGTATTTATACACTGTACATTAAGTAAATAAAAATGTTTTATAATTATATACCACAGGTGAAGTCATGTGAATATTGAGTTTTCCACCAATCAGTAGACGCACTTCAGCAACAAATCTTGTATTTGTTTTTAATACTTGAGGAGGTTGAGTTATAATAACAAAAGTACTAAATAGTCATAATTTCAACAATCAATAAATTAATAATTTAAAATAACAGCATAAACAAGCATATTTTTTACCTTGCTACTAATGATGAAAGATATTGAGTAGTCATGTCAAGAAGTGTATTTATAATTTCACATGACTGGGGCAGTTCAAAATAACGGCCCAAATTTACTCTAAAACGATCAGCTTCTTTTATTTGTGAACGAGTTATCCATATTAAATCACATAATTTTTCACACCTAGTACATTAAGAAACATAAATAAAATTAAATAACTTAGAAAATTATTCATATAACTGTAAATGTACCAAGTTTGAATGACATCTATATCCTTCATGTATTTATATCCATTACCAGCTAACTGTTGTTCACGTTTCCACTGAATTAATGCCTTATCAATAATATGAGCTTGTACAGGGCTGAGCAAATTTAATGATTCATTAAGTTTATTGATATAAACACAAAGTGCATTATTAAGACTTAAAGATTGAGTCTTTAGTTGTCCTTCGTAGAGTTCTTTTTCTTGTTTTAATTTACGTTCAATTTCAGGACCTTGAGGAATATTCATTCTCTGATTTCTCATTTGTTGTAAATGTTCTGGAGTGTAAAAATATTAATAAATAAAACAAAATAATTATAATTTGAATCAAAACTTACGAGTACATTTAGCAGATTCTGAATATAACATATTGAAAGAATCAATATCTGATTGAATTGTCATTCGAATCTCATTTGTATGTGTAATATGGTTGCTGATTAATTCCATCTGTTGCATAATTTCAATATTTTCCATTTCTTGGGATGTTTTTACATTAATTTCCATTAATGACTAAATAATAAATGCATTTAAAAATTTTTTTTTTTTGATAAGTATTTAAAATAAACAGATATTTTTTAAAATTAAATTTAAATATTAATATAACTATTAAAATATAGTTTAACATTTATTTAAATTTATTAATATAAGATATGGAGTAATTACATTTTTAACTTTACTAAAAGTTTATATTTTGCATATAATGTTATATGAAGTTATATAAAAAAATTTAAATACTATCTATTATAGTTACCTAAATAATTAAATAACAGACTAAAATGACATACTTTAATTTAAATACTAACGTAATTAATCTAAAACAATCTAAAACATATAATCTAAATACAGATTAAAAGTGTTTTATTTTTAAATTTTTATCATTAATATTAATAACAAATAACCCAATGAATTGTAAATTCAGTGAATGAAAATTGAAAATTATCAAAGTAAATAAGAGATGGTTATAAGCGTACATTTTTAACACCTACTTATGACAGGGTTTAAATATTGATGAAAGTGGGCAATGATAACACTCATTCCAGTTAAAAATAACATGTAAATATGTATTTCTAATGCATTTTAATTTAGGGTATGGATCATAAAGTCAACTTTTATTAGTTATCATATCACTGTTAATTTGATATTTAAATACATTCTTTTTATAATGATATACTTTCAAGGCTTTAAAAAAAAAATCAATTACTCTTATACTGCAATAATTAATTTTTATAATGCTTTTGAGAATATAATCTGTAGTAACTGATAATAGTCTTAAAGAAAATGAAAATTGAAAGGAGAAACTAATAATTTACAATACTGTAGTAAAATAATATATTGTTTTTAATAAGACACTTAATAAAGTGTTATAAATTTAATTTAATTAATTTTTTTTTTCTTTTATATAATAATATAAAAAAAAAATGTCTAATACGTACATTATTTTGTTGTACCAATAAAGATTCAGATTCCAAACACTTTTTAATGACTCTTATCAATTCTTTTGGATTTTGTGAGTACTTATCCTATAAAATTAACAAAAGAAAAAATAAATAAAATAATAAATATTTAAAATGAATATATAATTTTCACAATAAGAATTCAAAGAAATTATTTAGTATTAATAATGCAAATTTCAATAAGTAATTAATTAATATTAGGGGAAGAGAAAAATATAAGAACCATCATTAAATACATTATGGCTATTTGAATGTATAGTTTCTACAATAAAATATTAATTAATAAGAAATATTATTTCAGTCAAATGTTTACTTTTAAAAAAACTAAGTTCAGTAGAACCTTGATTATCCAGGATAACGGTGGGGAAAGGTAACACGGATAAATGAAAAACACGGTAAATCGCGATCACAAATAATCAAAACACAATTAATGGAGGTTCCACTGTATTCAAATTTATTCAGACAAAAAAAAATATAATTTTGAAACAGATATTTGTTCTTCTTTCCTACAAGCCAAAATTATATTAAATAATAATAAACTCAAAATACTTACTTTATACAATTTTGCTGTATCAATTAATTTTAGTTTACTAACAAACTGTTCATTAGTTACCATAGAATTAGCTTTAGATACAATTTCATCCACAAAAGACACAAATAACCCTTTAATATAACCTTCATGCTCTAAATTATCTGGATCAATTTCAGTCCTATAAAATAATTAAAATAAATACATTTTATACTTTAATATAATTGAATGAATAAAAATAAATAAATAAATGATATTTACTATGGTAGTCAATACTATTATATATGCACTGCTTTGTATAATTTACTAAGGATTAGTTGTAACATCGAGTGACAAAACCAAAAGACAAATAGTAAATAATATTATTTAACTAGTAACTGATATGCTATTCATTAAAAATCAATTTTTAAATAGATTAGTATTAGTTTATTACTTCTTATCTGATTAATTTATCATAGCATAATTTGATAGTTCTAGGAAAAGGTAATTTCATATAAACTTCATGGATAATTGGTGCAAGAAACACAAGAGTTAAAAAAAAAAAAATAGTAATAAATACTAGTTTTAGATCAGTTGTTAGTCTTAATCATAAACTATATCGTTAACACTGACTGCTATGATAACCATTTAAATAAAAAATAAATACTTGTTCTAGGTATTAGTAAAATAATATAACAAAGATTGAATTAGTTAAAATAATGTGAATGCACAATTGACAAATAATAAATAATATTTTAAGTAATAAATCAATTATTTTTATGATGTGGTAAACATGAAATATATACATTCATAGCATAATATAGCATGTTTAAACATTATACAAGTTATTAAACTATTATGAGTCATAATGTATTATAAACAGGGCTGTACATTTAATCATGATAAAAATTCCAATGTATGGACTAATTATACAAAATAAACTTATAGTAAACTAAATTCACAATTATATAAATGGCTTAACAGTAACCAGAAAATTTGCTACAAATAATATGCAAAAATAATTACTTCTAAGAATATGATATACATATATGATTGTTATGAAAAATAAAAAATAAATAAATGAAAATAAGGGTTAACTAATATTCCACACTCATATTGAGTTAAAAATGTGATGTTTCAACAAAATACAAAGAAAAAAAATAAAATAAAATGCTCTAGATAAATGGTTATGACTATCAAAGTTGTAACTCATTAATTTTGATTTCTGAGAAATCAATAAATTCATTCAATGTAATAAAAGTTGTATTAATAATTTTTACCTAAATTTTCCTTTTAGCTTTATTTAAAAAATAAATAAAAACATAAATATTTTTTTTTGCTCATTAATATTTAACTATAAGGGAAGTTAATACTTATTCAATTTAAAAATTATAAATATTTAAATTAAGATAATTTTAGTAACTATGAATAATAGTACCTATATATATAATACATTTAAATTACTTCTATTTTCTAATCAACTTGATATTTTTTTTACCAAACTACAACAGAAAATAGTGATGATAATTTTAAAGAATTTATAATAATCATTGCACAATGTTTGCTTTAAAAATCTCAGTTGTATTTGTATTACCTTTTCAGATAATTACAATTCAATTAGAAATGTAAGTAGATACTCATAATAATTCATTGAGATGTACAAAAAAAAAAAAAAATCTTTAATAATCCTATTGAACTTTATTTTAGAATAATTTATTTTATGGATTTCTAAATAACTAGTATCAAAATTAAATAAGTGTATAATTTTGTTTCCAGATGTTTAAACTATACATATGTATACATATACAGTATCTAAATGTTAATTTAAAATTAAGATTTTAATTACTTTGAATTTTTCTGGACTATTTATTAAATTACAAATCTGAAACTGTGTTGCAAATTATAAAGAAATGTTAAAATTAAAATGTGTACTATTTTAAAATTCTTATACTATATAATTTATGTACTTGTATTGATAATATTATTAATAGGTAAAATATTTAAGATGGGCATTTTAAAAAAATATACAAAATTTAATATAAGAATTGTTATGATCGAATCTGAATAAGATAATATTAGTATATATGATCCACTGGTTCTTAGAAATTAACTGAGGATAACCATATAATTGTTAGTAGTAAATATGAATAATGATTGGTTTTAGTTTTAATACTTTAGTAACAGCTCTTTTATAATCAATAAATAAATCTGGTAAAAAAAAATATAACTTATTTTAAAACAAATAAAATAATTTTAATTTAATTTGATTACCGATGAACTTAAAAATTAAATAAATATTCTGTTTTAAGGTAAATTATACAACAAAAGTTGAAAAAATAAAATAATTATTAAATTAAAAATTGGTACCGATATAATATATGCTATACATTCTCAGAAAGATATATAGTATTTTCTAGATTATACACACAACAAAGATTAGTTAATATGTATAAACACTATTACTACTGTCCAATAATAACTTGCGGGCAGACAATTGAATGAGTCATTAATTTTTATTTTTATATTATTAATTTATTTAATCTAAACTTACAAAATTTGTCAAATTATTCTCTGTGTTAATTCTAAAATGAATGTTTTGGTTTAATTTGTATTTGTAGAATAATAACTATCTAATACTTAGTTATGTTCTTGAGTAGTTCTAAGAATACTATTTATGGTCTACAATATAAACTTAACAAAATAAATCTCATTATGTATGTTATGAATAAATATTATAATTATAATACTGATTTTTAAAATTATAGAGCCAAAAAAGGCTAAGCCTTAAATTATTTTACTACTTATACACAAAGATATATCATACCATTATTGAAAAAACTGTAATAACACACTAACTAAAGGAATTTATAAAACTAAGCAAAAGACAAGCAAAAAATTAAACACATTTGCTTTTGACAATACATGAGGCTGATTACTTTTTCTGGACATAAATTAGACACTGACTAGATATTAAGTATGTTATATAATCATAAATATTTATTTAATGAAATAGGACTATATGCTATATTCAGTATACCAGTAACTAAAAAGTAGGTCACATGTCTCCTGTGAAAGCCATACAATCCCTATATCAAATATGCACTCGTATACTGAATTCTAAACTTCACTACCATAACGTATTCACTAAATGTCTAAGTCTAATACATAAAACCATAATTGTTATACAATTGTACAATCAGCAATAAGCTAAAGATAAAATAGCTGAGTCTATATCATTAATTTATGTAAATAGTCAGTGGCGTATTTACAATTTATTATTATTAATATTTTTTTTTTTTTTTTGGGGGGTCATCATACATTTTTTTTAAAAATCAGTATAAAATGGTCAAAATTAAATTTTTATATTCTTATTGAAAAATCTAATTTCATTAATTATAAACTATATGATAAACTCTAGCTTCATTCTTTTATTTACGAATTAGTCAATAACTCTATAAGAAAAAATATTTAAATCTGGATGAATCTATAACATGCCAAGGCCATTAAGTCTTTTCTGAAACAAAATAAGATTTTCAGCCAACTATCTCTACAGTAAGTAGATAACAATTTTCAGTGAACTACAGGCTACAGCAATGTTTCGTCTTGCACAGTTAAAAATACAAATATTATCTTCTCGGGTTTTATTAATTTTTATAAAATTAATAAAATTTATAAATTTTAAAATTTTTCCTTTATTTGAATTAACAAAAATTAAAAATTTGAGGACTGTAAATTATCTGGGAGGAACCCCAACACCCCCATAAATACTCCACTGTCTATAGTTGAACTAAGTTAGGTGCATTAAAAAAAAACATTAATTAAGATAATAAATCGGTGTATTTTGTACTATACAGGACTACATTTTTTTAAATAATATGACAATTTATAGTTAATCTAATACAGGGATTCTGAAACTTTTATAAACATTGTACTCATTTTAATCAATCAACTTTTTTGAGTACCCCTTCTTAGTTAGTAAATTAAAATAAATATAAAAAATGTAAAAACATAAATACATTTTTATTTCATTGAAAACTAACACATGAAAAATGTTAAAAAAAAAGCTTACTTTCAATGAAATTAGTAAGAAGGGTGAGCTCGTTTTTGTAGGCACAGTTGATCAATATAGGGTTCTAATTTAGTTAGATACAATTTTAAATCATCTTCAACATTTAATTTATTTCTAAATTTACTTTTAACATGAATTAAACTTGAATGACCACATAAATTATTTAAATCTAAAGGTTTGTGGGCCAGACTTGTAATACTTAAAAAATCTTGAGTACCCCAAGGGTTACGTGTAACACAATTTGAGAAACACTGATCTAATAGAAATAAGTTTAATGATTTTATAACAAAATATTAATACAAAAAAAGTCAGTGTATTTATTAGTTTTAAAATTATTTCAATAAATTATAAAATAGAAATATTGGCAGAACTTCTGATCGAAAAATAAAATATATTTTTTGTTTACAATAAAAAATAAATTAAAAATAGTACACATATTTTTAGGTTATTAATAAATATTATTTTATGGGACTTAAGTATCTCCATAAACCAAATTACAAACATGGCAAATATGATATAATTTGAGAAACATGATAATTATGAGTATAATATATATAAATATTTAATATTAATATACATATATATTAAATTATATCTGATTAAAAGGTAAGAATAAGGTTATTGAATATATTCTATCCAAAAGTATATGAATATACTAATTAATAAAACTAAAATAATTGTGAAGTGATTGGTTTTGATTAATTAAATGTAAAATATTAACAGCATACTAATTGAGAATCCCTAAGTTTTAATAAATTTAAGTAAAAAAAACCAATTATTTGGTAAACAGAAAATAGACTACTAAAATATTAATAAATGGTTAGTTATAGTTTTAGTAACAATTATTATTATTTATATTCATTAATATTTATAATATTAAATTAAAATATAATATACAATAAGAAATCATGTAATTAAAACTGTGGAATATTAATATTAAATTTAATTAAATATAATATAAATAATTTATTAACATTTATTAAAATGTCATAAAATAATAATACTTATGTATAAAGGTTCTATTAATTAGTTGTTAGGAATTGAATGTAAATAAAGTATATTAAGCCTAATATCATATAAATATACATATATATTTATAAACTCAATAATTATGGAGTTTTAATTTAAACTATAATACTGTAATAAAATATTTTATAATTATTATTATTATTATTATATTATACTTTTATTTTTTAATCTACTTAAATTTAAAACTATTATAGGGATAAAAATTATATTATCATACCAAGCTTTTGTTTCAAACCATGGGGATAATAATTGCCGCACTTCAATAGGAAAATGATCATTATAAAGTTGTTGAATATCTTCTCCTTGCAAGTTTTGTTGAAGTTTTTCCCAAGCAGTGATTGGAGACACTATAATAAAACATGCATTAAAAATTAGACAGCACAAAAATAATAGGGAAAAATAATTATGCTCTTGAAACATGGACGAAAAGATGATAGACTTAAGTTGAACTTACTTGTACTTGGGAAGGACTTAAGTACGCACTTTCTGTTTTTGTTTCAAAGATCTTCAATATCAATATACATTGCTTGATGTATGCACTATTAATGTATATAGAATCAGTTCAAATATTCACGTAAAAAAATACAGTTGTAAAGACTTCGCGATTTATCCGAACTAATTTGTATTGCTAGTTACCAATAAATAATTAACTAAAATGAAATTATAAAAAAATAAAATTGCATACTGCAGAATCAATCAATTTCAGTATTACCAATTTATGTTTAATATTTCAATTTTTTGTTTAATATTCCTGCGCAACAGTTGTCAAAATTTTTTTGTTACTAAAGTCAGCAAAAACAATATTTGTTGCTGCCAACTTCATACCAATGTATCTTTGGCCCGATTGTCGTATGGTAGTAGTTGGTATGCCGTGGTATAACCTTTTATTTTGATAAATATCGCTCGTAGATTTTGTTCTCAGTTTATGTTCAAAATTTTTGCTCATAATCCATATTATCAAGTTTCTTAGAAGTTCGCTTTGTTATACGTCATTTTACGGTACTTTTCAAATTTTTTGTTTTACTTAAATTCTGTTTTCTCGAACAATAAATATTATTATGTCAAGATTTATGAATGGGGTATTAAATAAATTACACAAAGGTATTGTGAGCGTAGCTGTTGGGTTAACGGTGATCTCCACGGGAGCATTTATGTATAGAACTTATGAAATTCTTTTCGTACCGGTTGAACAAAGAATTCAAGCTAGAAAAGAGGTCGACGAATTATTAAACAACGAGCAACTACTAATACACGAGGAATAGGTAATTGTAATTATGTTTGTGATCAAATATTTTTTATTAGAATAGATAAAATGAACAATTTCAATAATTGAATATTCTTCCTTAATTTTTTTTATACAGTAAAGTATAGCATCTTACATTGTAATTGAGTGAAATTAACATCAAATAAAAACTCCTTTCCAACATAAGATTTTATTTTCAAAAAATATCTTATTCACTTAATTATAAATTATACTAGATTTAAAACGTTTTTCAAAATTAAAAACTGTATGGTACTTATCAGTTTTGTTCTGCCTCTCAACAGTATAGTATTTTTCCAATTAATTAAAATTTTTAAATTGAAGAAAAATCTTTTAAGATAGTAAGAGTTCATTTCGTAACACTAATGAAAATACCACGTAACTGACATTTTACATAAAATCAGTTTTTGGTACCAAAATATTTGTTATTTTCTTGTGAACAAAATTTATTTCCTGTAAAATAACCTAAAATAAATTATTTTCCCTCCAAATTGAACATATTTAGTATTTTTATAAATTTCAACCATGTTAAAGCACTGCTCAAATATATGTATCTTACAAAAATTTTAGTAACTTTATTAAGTTTTAAACAGCAACCAAATTTAAAGAGTTTATTAAAATTATTGAATAATCATAACTAAAATTCAAACTTGATAAAAATACGAGGTATATAATATTTGTTAATATTTATTCAGTTTTTTCATTCTCCTGAACTATTGGTGAACTGTAAGTATGTGGTATTGTCATTAGTGTAATTATTTGATACATCAAAATCTATAATGTAATTACCATATGAACTAAGATCAGTCTCAATCATGAATAATATTTTTATTCACTTAATTAACAGTTTGGTATTCTAACAAGTTATTTAATTTTTAACTAACAACCTTATTAATAACTTTTTATGCCATTGATCTGATAAATAATAAAAATATTGTTTCTATGAATTTATCAAACTTTCCAAATAATTTAATATATTTTAATTAAAAAAATATTTTTGATAATTTACAATTTCAATATTTATTTAACTAAAATTTTAGTCTTAAATTCAAATAAAAATAATGGAAAATTAAAAAAAAAAAAAAAAATAATTACTTAGTCTTAGTCTATAATTTCTAACTTTATATGTAATTTACTTAAAAATATACACAGTATGCTATTAGATTCACAAATATAGTTAACATATAAAAATTAAATAGTTGAGCTTTAATTAATAATCTAATCCTTAAAAATCATCTTGAGAAATGTCTCATTTATTATCTTCATCTTGGCAACTTTTTTCATCACTAGGTTTTAGGACAAGTCTTATGCGTTTAATTGGTGGGCAAATTTGTAAATTATTATTTTGGTGATGCATTCTAAAAAGAAAAAACTGATTATTTAGAACAATTTTTTTATAGTTACATTTTAACTTACAATTCTGGTGATGAAGGTGGTGGAGAAGGAGTCCATATACTTGCCATTGTTTCTTCATCATGTAATTCAGGATCTTCAATTTCTAAAACTAACGTTTAAAATAAATTATAATAATTTTTTAGTTAATGACTGATGTATCTATAACAATAAAAAAAATAATAATAATACAATACCTCTTAATACACCAGATCCATCTACTTCTTCAACATTTTCATTATTGTCCATACAATTATTAGTTCTAATATATAAATAATACTATTAATAATTAACCTTTTAATAGGATTTTGTAATAAAAACTTACTCTAGAGAATCGTTTACTAATCGAAATGGTACTGCATTTTGATGCCTCCACTCATTTCTTGGAGGTTGCTCACCAGTAAACAAATGGAATTCTTGTACATCATCTAAAACAAATATTTATAATTCACTACTTTTTTTTATATTATTCATAAGGATTATTTGAATTATATTTTTATTTATTACCTGTAACATAATTATCTAATTTCATACAGCTATAATAGGATGGTGGAAGACTTTCTATATTATCTTCCATAATAGGTACATTGCTTGAATTAGTTTTCCAAATTCCTATGCAATTAATATTATTTTATAGGTATTTACTATTTGACATATGAAAGCTTTTTACTTACTTTTATAAAAATAAACACCCAATAAAGAAATCAAAAATATATTAATAGTTATAAAAATAATTCCAATTTCATCTAAAAAAGAATTTGAGCTAATTTTTGCTGAAACAAATATAATGTATTTATCTTTAATATGTTATTGTAATTATGTATAAAAGAAAATATTAAAAACTTACCTGGAGTAGGTAATATAATGTCATTATAATCAATTGGAATACATAAATCACGAATTTCCCCTCCAAAAAATATTTCTTCCGAATATCTATTAAAATATTAAAACAATAAGTGAAATAAAAATTATTTTATTAATTGAAATTACAAATTTACATATACCCATTTAAACAAATGCTACAATCTGATATATCTTTAGCACACATGATATTTTTTTTTTGTTTTCTAAAATACATGCTACTGCAATTAAGACATTGTGAACATAAATTTAAATTAACATCACAATAAGTGTTTTTTTCTAAACAGTCACTTTCTGTATGACATTCAATCTCGTTCATAAAATTAATCACTCCTTCTGGTAATGTTCGAGAAACATTTCCTCGCATAATCTATATGGTAATAAAACATAGATAACACTAAATTAAATAATATTCAAAACAAATAAAAAATAAGTATATTTTTGCAATAAATAAATAAAATAAATTGTATATGCTACCAAAAGTAATAAATTTATAATAATCCATAATAATCCAAATAATTCAAAATGTTCAATAGCTATCAAAATTCAAATATATCCTAGTATAATGTTTCTCAACCACTGAGTTGCAACACACTGATGTGTTGCGAGGTATATTAAATGATAAAAAACTTAATTTTTTATAATGAAGCATATTAATATTATGTGGTAAATAACTTATGAATTCCATAATTTAGATTTAATTACTTATAATTGAAATAAAATATTGATACACAAGTATGTAGTATTGTATAAGATTTTTTTTTTTACCGCATGTTGCAAAATATGAAATATATTAATAGTATTGCTATAATACCGATGTTGAGAAATACTGAACCTAGTTCTTTTCCATTTCATCCAACTATTTTACCTTATCTAAACTATAATTTTGTTTAATATTATTTTTAAATTGATAATTTATTTTTATTTTGCCTTCATTAAAAACATTTATAAAGCAACTAAAATAAATTAAATTAAAAAGACAGCGGATTAATTTAAGTTAATTATGGAATAGAGCAATAATTAAGCAGGAGGTTGGCGTCAGGAGTAATATAACCAATAGAAGATAGAATGAGAAAAGGAGATGTATATTTATAATTGTTCCTTTGTTTTTAAATATTTGTCAGGTATATCATTGTATATTGTATTATAGTATCTTAAATTACTCAAGTATAGAAGGTATTTAATAACGGATACAATTTTTATTCCATAAGAAAAGTTTACTAAATTTTTAATTAATAATATCATTCTATCAAATTAGAAAGCAAACATTTTGGTTAACATAAAGTATATCGTTTCTATAACAATAGTTAGGTTGTAATAGATTATATTATTACATAGCAAATGAGATTGAAAATTAGTAGAGGAATGCAGCTTTTTGCTAACATTCTTATAAATAAATCTATGACCATAATCTCATAACAATAGATTTAATAATATAACATAATTCTACAAAAGTTTTTCAAAAGAACTTTAATGTAATAGTAAAAATAAAAATAAATAAATAGCATAATAAATGTAATTCAAATATATTCACTATATTTATAATTTATTAGGGAATAATTTCTTTTTTTTTAGAAGCCAAGTTCAATTTAATTATATATTTTTACCGCATGAATATATTAATGGTTGGGACTATTATTTATACATTAATTTATTAACTGCACTAATAATTAAAAAATAATGATAACCTAAAAAAACCTAAATTCATTAAAAATATTATGTAAAAATGTATATTTTCTAGTTTTGCTAATAGTTTAATGTTTATGGAAGAAACTAATTGCTTCCCTCTTATCCATCAACTTATGTTATGCTTCGAACATTGACATAATATTATCATGCAATATTGATATCTTTGATGTATAAAAATAACAATTTTGGAATTAGAAAAAGTTCAAGTTCTTAATAATAAATTTGAATAACTTATTTTTTATATTATCATTTGCATCAAATGCATCATATGCATTTTTTACTTTTAATATATAATTAAATGATTATTATAAATATAAAAATGTATCTTTTCCATCATCCTCTTGGTCCCTTGCAAATATATGTTGTTTTTTTTTATAAAATTCTCACAATTAAGTTTAAATATTTTTAATCTAGACTACTACAAGTATCTATAATAGCAGTAAGTTTATGAAATATAGCAGGGGTGGGCAACTGATGGTCCTCGAGCTTTTTTTATCTGGCCCGTATTATATTTTAAAATTACATCATACAATTTTAAAGTTTATCGTCTATACTCTGACTTATCGAAATAATAATTGTAATTTAGTATTAAACATCATTAAATGTCTAAATGTCATATGTATGTATAATTATAGCTTTCAATCATAGCTGTTTCAACTATATCAGTTTTTTCATGTCATTCGTATCGTGCTATCATATGTGTTGAATTTATTATATTATAAATAAATGCTAATTAAAATTCATATTTTCAATGACCTTTTTTTTTTTTTATGCTCTGGCCCATTAGATTTTAATTTTCTAAAAATTGGTCCTTTAGTAACTTGCCCATCCCTGATATATAGAACAGTGTTGCGGAAATGAGAATACTAAGATGGATGAGTGGAGCGAGTTGGTGCAGGGGCGTTTAGACTTACTTCTAGGGAGGGGGGCGAAATTTTTTTTCTTTAATTCAGTCAAAATTTACAAGTAGAATATAATATTTAAATTAGGTGAATCCTTAATATTTGTTATTTTTTTTTTTTTTAATCTAATGCTGGATCCACTTAGAATCGATTATTGTGTAGTTCTTTTTTAACACCCGTCTGTGTTTTGAAAGTTATGCTTGAGTTTTCACTAAGTATTGTTATAAAATGATCCACATTAAAAAAATTTAAAATATATTTTTCACATATGATTGATTCTTTAGATACTGATTCAGGGGTGTTGAACCTTACGCCTCCCTTAAAATACGCCACTGAGTTGGTGAATGTGTGGTAGATGTAGAAAGTCGAGACGAGTGGAGGTTTTGGACAAAGGTGGCCAGCCCTAAATAGTTGGGAGAAAAGTGAAAGAAAAGAAAAAGATGACAATGTATTAAATATATTTACACTTTTTGTTAAGATAGGGCCAAAAGTATTGTAGGCACCCCCTAAAATATAGGTCTGTGAACACCTTAAAAGCACATCTCCAAGCACCGAAACTCAATCATACAGAATAAATTTTAGTAAAATTATTAATCGTTCATTGTCTACTAAAATTACTTAAGTTATTTAAAATAAACACATTATAGTAAAATTCATAGGAGACACTTACCAGAATGAAAACCATCAGGGAACTTATGAATCCAGTTGTAATGTGTGCCATATTGAAATTGATTTCAATTAATATTCGTACAATCTTAAAAAAAAAAAAAAACGATAATTAATTTTTAAATTATATTTTCAAACGTGCTTATGTGGTAAATTAAAACTTGACTACTGATGAAAGTAAGGGCATATTTTGAGAGGGGGCAAAGTATTTTTTTTTGACTATAATACATTGATTTATTTAAAAAATATAATGTATAAATAATTAAGAATATAAATTAACAGTCTATCATTATAATATTTTATCATTATACTAGGAACATGAGCTGTAGGTAATGAACTGTAAATTGTTTTAAATTAGTCCCCTCTCCTCGGTCACAACTTAAATACGCCCTTGGATGAAAATCAGAAAAAAAAAATAAAAAAAATTAAGTAGTCACAAACGTTAAAAAACGTTAGTAAAAATATCGGAAATTACAGTTTAAGATTTTAAAAAATACCAAGGATTTTAACACGATTTCTGACGCAATCGCTTTACGAGTTTCTTACACGTGATTCGCTGTCCTTATGTCGTTATGGAATATTTTCAGAATAAAAAAACTTTAGTTGGTAATCATTTTCCTTACCATAAACGTAAACAATACGATGACAATCACTGTGTACGCGTGTTCCCAGTACAGATGTACGAAACGTATCGGAAAAAGTGAAATATTTTCAAAATAAAAGTGTGTTTCCTCGACGTTCAATGGCAAGCAATAACGGGTAATAATAACATGAGAAGTAGATAAGTCCGCACCGGTTACCGCACATCCGTGAATGCCGTGTCACTGGAGTACTGGAACACGTTTGAAACATGTATGAGTCATGCATGCACAGTCAAGGTCTTGTTGTGGACCTGTAACGACCTGTCGTCGGGAAGACCGCGCGCCACACACACACACACACACACACACACACACACACACACACACACAC